GCTCGCGCCCCCCCCCCCCCCGGTACAGTAAAAGGTTTTTTCCCCTCCTTCATTTAAGTGAGTATACAGGCTTTGAGTAATGACAAACTCCAGTGTATTTTTTACAGTTAGTGTTGATGGGTTTTTTTGGTTACACAGAACAAGTTAACTGTGGTGACAGATTTATTTTTTTTCTTTATAAAATTAATGTTCTTCTCACCAAGCATCTGACAACTGTGATTCATAAAAAGCTGATCTAATCAGAATTTATATTAACTGAGAGCTCCTTGCTGAATATCAAAACCAGCACGAAATTAAAGCATGACTTAAGCTTATCCATAACTGTTAAAATCAGCTATCAGTGTTCTTGTCTGTGAAGTGCATGTTCTTAAAATTGTCTCTTAACTGCTACTTACCTGTTTCAAAAGAATCAGTCTCTGACTGGATTTCTATAAGGACTTCTGTATTGAACTAACGGATCATTCTAATATTGCTGGTATTAGAAGGTAATTCATTAGCCGGAAGCAATCATAACAGTGAAATTTAGAGCATATTTTTTTAAAAGCAAACTTTGCACAAGTGGCATAGAAAAATAAAAAGTCATTTGATGGCAAATGATCTAAAAAACTTGGACTTCAAAAGCAACAAGTTTGCTATTTCTTCCTGGCTTTGGGTTTTGTTTTTTGTTGGTTTTTTTTTTTTTTCCTTCCCATTTGTGGCTATTAGAATTCCTTCATGATTTCAGCAGCTCTGTCTTTGCCCTGATGTGTTACTTTCTGTGATTTGCAGCTGGAGGGGGGTCTTCATGCAGCCCTGTTCTTGCAAGAAAGCATAAAGGTGATTATTTTCAAAACCAAATCCTTAATTGCATTCCTTTCTGACTTTTTTTTTGGTTGGTTGGTTTTCTTTTTTTTTTTTTTTTTCCTCCCCCCCTCCCCACTTCATTGTCTTGCTGAACTTTGGTCTTCATTCACAATTGCCTTTGTGTTATCAGCTGAGCTTAATCACTGGAAATCTTAAAAGAATTCTGACGTGATTTCTGATATTGCAATCAAGATATTCTAAAATAACTCAAAGCAGTATAATTCTTATTTTTGCTGTAGTTCACTGGCAAAATTATGGTGATGAACATTGATGCAATTTTCACTTTTAAAGAGCACATCTAAAAATAATCTCTCTGAACAGGACATTCTTCCTTTTGATGGTAATACTTAACCTTTAATGTAACTCTCAAAATAGTTAACCTTCCTGCTTTTTAGGCCTGTTTTTTTTTTTCTTTCACTAGTGCACGTGTACATTTGCATGCTTTGATATGATGCTTTTTTATTTCTTTTTCTGTTCTTGATGATTAATTCTATACATTTTGTGTCTTACTGTGTATTAATTTCTTTCTTCAATAGGTAATTAATTTAGCAGGATTTTAAATAATACAATTTGCTCTGAAATATTCTTTTCCTAGTTTGTGCATGAAAGTACTTCATATCTAGTTATATGTTTACACTTTGCTTAAAACCAGTCTAGAATCACTCTAGATACAGCTGTGTAACAGTTTCATCGCCTGTTTTAGGTGAGCAAAATGTTGGTACTGCAGTGGAACTATGTGTGAGTGTAGTGCAGTCAGTGCAAGCATAGTAAGTGGAGAGGCGCGCAATACTGAAAAGAAAAACTTGAAGGAACAATAGTTTAAGACCAAATAAGATTATACAAACTTTAAGGACCATTATAGCAACTAGCTTACACTTTTTCCAGATATGTCCTCCCATATCTCATAATGCTTAAAGAATATACCTATATGCTTTAAGAATATACCTAAATGTGAAATAGTGGTTATAGCTGAATGAAATAGTGCTTACGGATGCCATGATAATTTCTAGTTTAGAAACAATAGAGTGAAAGAAAGGGTGTTCTGAAAGTAGATATTGCTGCATCATCCAAAGGTGAGACAGAATGCAACAAATCAGAATAAAAATGTGTAACACTTTTAAATGAAAAATGGTAAATCATCATTTGGATACTTTGAATTGTTAGTAGTCTTCAGTGTAACTTTGAAGTGTTAATAATAGTGTAAATTCAATTAAAGTACTTGTTAAAACACTAACCTTTCCTTCACTCAGTGGGGAAAAAATGTATGAGTCATCAGCTTTTATCCTTTTTCAAGATCATGGTGTGAAGATTTTGTGGTCTAAAACAATGGCATAAAGGAATTTGAAGAAATCTGCTCACAGTTTTGTGCTTTGTACAGGTTTAATTTCAAATTGTGAATTGTTCATTTCCTGCTCCTCTCCATTGTGGAAAGGAGGGAAAAATCAAGCCTATTCCCAGTTCCTACTTGAAGTTGTTCTGCAGTCTACTGTCTACTACCATATAGAGTATTAGGCTTCTGCTGTTGGCTGTGGCTGAAACCTCGCTAGCTGTAATACTCCTTTGTGTGTAGGGGTGTAAAGTGAGGCTGATCTACAGAAATCTGTGACCCTAATATAAGAACTCAGATATTCCATGTCTTTTCAGTCTTCCTGCTTCAGACCAACTTTAGTTTTGAGTAGCTGGAGCTGGCCTGTGTTGGCTTGTTTATGTTTTAGCTTTAGAAAATTATTTGCAAAAAAGGCTGGAAACTCATTTTGAAATGAAAGCCTATGTTCTGCATCTTAACTGATTTTTTTTTTTTTTTCCCGAAGAGTGGAAAAGTATCCTGCAGCTTGTTTTATATACTCATTTAAACATATAAAGCCTAATATGCCTAATAAGTGTTTTTCAGTGTCCTTCCTCTTTCACTTACTTTTAAAGGTGATCACCTGTGGAAAGCAGAAGAATATCCTGGTTTGTTTCAGTGAAATGGATGTAAATGTGAGAAAGAATAGAGAAGAATATACTATCTTTCATGGTTTTTTGTTGGAAACACTTAAGATTTTGCTCGTTCTTTTGTAGGATTGTGTAGTTCTCAATTACTGTTATTTTACATAGAACATACATGGAAATGTCATGGTTACTTTTCTGCATTGCTTGCAGGTTTGAATAGCAGAAAACAAACTTTTCAGAGGAAGACATTTCTACAGTGTTACTGCTATGTATGAAAGCAGTTGTGATAGAGAAATTAATACAGAAGTCTGTTAATGCTTTTTTACATGCTGGTAACTTAAATGGGATGCAAACAAATTCACCTAGAGTTATCAAAACATTGGTATTTTGCATGGTGAATCTTAGACTACCAGTGAAGCTTATTCTAAATGGCAAAACAGGCTTATCTCAAAGCAGTTATCATGAATCGCTCTGTCTCAGCAAGTGATTTGTGAGATCCAGAAGGATGGGCTCAGTAGCTCCCTCTGCACTCTGTGTCCTGTCCCATTTACAGACTTTTCAGTGCAGTTGTGTCCTTGGCTGGCTCCTAGGCAGTGTGCATCTGCAGGTATTTTTCTCTTTCCACTGCCTCTATAGATATTACTATACAGATATTACTCTGTGATGATTGTGTTAGGTTATAAGTGGTTCTCATTTTTCCTATGGCAAAAGCTTTTTGGAAGATTTTTGCCTTAGCAGTCCCTGGATCTCAATGGCTGTTGTTCATGGTTCATCACCCTGTCCCACTTATGTTGTCTTGTGCTTTTGGTCTGTGCTGCTCTTTGCCCTAGGCATTTTCCATTCTGTTACCATTGGACTTCTAAGCCCCAAACTGCAAGTAGCCTTTGATAATTTTTATAGCCTTAAGGAGGAAGAGGTTATTTATTCTGTTACTTGTGGTGCTTTAATGTCCTTCTGAGTTGGTGGCAGGCATCCAGATGCCGGGTATCCAGGCCTTGGTAATAGGACATACTTGATGAAATTAGTGGGATCTTAAACATAGTCCACAAAAATAAACTAGTACAAGTAAGGTCATAGGTAGTTTCCTGAATGGTCATGCTGTTAAATAAAATTGCTTAATTGTGTGTTTCCTTGTCACTGCTGCCTGTTTCTTTCCTGATCAAATAGTGAGGGACTGTATATTCACTTTCTTCATTCCTTTCTCTTTAACATCTGTTGCCTGTCATAGCTTTGAAAAATTATTTGGATAAACTTTTTAAAAATAGATTTCACATCTAACTGACTTCAACTATTCAGCATTTAAAGTTGGCTATAATTTTGGAAAACTGTAAAGGTTTTTCTTGTATCACTTCTCAGGTAAAATACTTCTTGGTGAAGAAGAAGGTTTGGAGGATGATCCTGAAACCCGATCAGATGTCAGCACTGCATCATTCTCAGGTAGCAGTCTCTCCTTTTAGCAGTGCAATCAACCTGTGTTTACTACACATTACAAATCCATTCTTTTATCACTCTATGTAAACTATAAAAGTGATGTGTTACAGTGACTAGGAAGCGGATGGGCCTCAAAAGACATGCTGACAAAACTGAAACCATAAATACTCCTGGGTATAACTAATGAAGTTGACTGCATTTTTTTATTTTTTTTTTTTTAATGGATAGGCTGTCATATTGAGCTACTGGTATAGATGAAATGGCATCTTACAGATGCTTATTTCCCTACCTATAGTTTAACTGTTCAGTTATACGCTTTCCTTAGCCTAGTTTAATATATGGCTTAGTATGTGGTGTCCATATTAAGAGTGAAACACAAGTTTAAACACTTGATTGACTCACAAATGTCTGTTTTGCAGCTTCCATGAAGGGTGAGATAACCAGTGAACTAGCTTCTTCATCAGGTGTATCGACAGCTGGGTCAGGGAGTTCAGCTGCTGATCCTACTGGACATGATATCATTACTGAGCAGCCACGTTCTCAACATACGTTGCAGTCAGACTCTGTAGACCTGACAAGCTGTGATTTGACAAGTACAGCTGCTGAAGGGGAAGAAGATGATGTGCTTAGCCGAAGCTCCAGCCAGATCAGTGCTGTCCAGTCAGATCCCACTATGGACTTGAATGATGGTACACAGGCTTCCTCACCAATTAGTGATAGCTCTCAGACTACTACAGAAGGTCCAGACTCTGCTGTAACCCCTTCGGACAGTTCTGAAATTGTAAGTGTGCAACGGGCAGAGGGGGGATCCCCTTCTACTGAGGGGCCCGACATATCTCAGAGCTCTTCCATGGAGGGCCCAGACTTGGATTCATCTACTTACTCGTCTTCTACTTTTCCATCCTCAGCTAGTAACAATGGAAAGGTCAGCAGCTCACACCTCTGTTGGAGAGCTTGACCTCCTTTTAACACTTTCACTTCAGCAGTAATTAAAAACTACAAAGCTGTAATCAGTGTGTTCACTGGGTAGGTCATATAAAGGCATTAACAGATTGTCACTCACTGGGAGAATGTCAGTATCAAAGGCTTGACATAAGTATATTCTCTTAGTAGCATATCCTTCATTTTGTATAGATATATTTATAATTGTTTTGGTGCAGGAGGACTAATGGAAGTGTTAAAGGGTGAACAGTCTATTGGAATGATAGAGGAATACTTTTGGAACCTAATGCTTCACATTGTCTTCTGCCTGTGCTTTTTCACTTGGCAATACAACATTTTTTTGTTGTTGTTTTTATTCCATCTGAAGGATTTCTACTATACTGAGCAAATGCTGCATGACTTACTAAAGTAGCAGTTACGCATCTAATAAACACCTGAAATGTGCATACAATATAGTTATTTTAAGAAATTTGTCTCTCTTAAGCAAGTGTATTGTGAGGTTGTAATAAAACCAGCAAAAATACAATTACTGGGAGCAAGAGCAGAAAATGCATTCTTGTTTCAGTGACAACTTAGAGTTTAAGTTCTTTTTTTTCAAACATTATCAAACTTTTGACTTAAGTTTGCTGATAGTAGCTTTGGAAAACTAATAGTCTCTTACCACTACAAAAAATGTTAAATTTACAATTATGATAAGCAAATACTGCTGCAAGTGTTGAGGATTCAGGAACCAAACGAGTGATGGTAATTGCTCTGTCTCTGAATTCAATGTAAGCAGTGCAGAGGCCAAAGTGAGCAGGCATTTATTGACAAGTTGCGTTTATTGACAAGTTGTATTTCTTGCAAATTCTTGTCAGACTGTTGCATATGTCAGTTTGCATACTGTTTACAAGCAGTAGTTACAAGCAAAATTTTTTTGGAATTGACAGACTAAGCAGTTGTCCCACTTACCCGCACATGGGCTTTTTAGTGAGCAGTTTCCAGATGCTTACAAAGTCAGGGAGTAACTGAAGAAGTATCTTGTCTTCTGAGAAACTTACAATGAAATGATTTTACTTTTACTGTCTTTTATTATCATTATTAATTTTTTTGTCTTTTATGGTTATTTTTCCATATGCCTACTGCCTATATATTGCATTGGTATCAAAGGTCAAACTCTTCTAGAAGTGTACATTTCAGTAGTCTCTGGTTTAGAATGAAGGAATTACAAATAAGCTTAAACATATTTGTCCTTTTTTGTCCTACACAGTGTGTTCTTAGCTTGACTTTACGTATCCAGGACAAGTGAGGTTATGGGAGAGTTTGACAGTAAGGGACAAGTTCAATTTGTGACAGTTAAGGTGTTGCTTGTGATTTGTAACTGCTGAGATAGAGGGACAGTTGTGTTTGGTGTAAGGGAGCAAGGAGAGCTGCAGGAGACGCAAAGCACCAAGTGTTCAACTTTCTTACTGTTAATATCCAAGTTTGTGGGTCAAGTGGGAGAGTGTCAGATATAACTATGGTCTCTGATAGACCAAACGCTGGAGGAGGAGGGGAACTGCTTTGGAGCCTGCACGCAGCTGTACACTAATATTTATCAGCTCATATTTGCTTTCAAATTATTTCTAGAATACTAACACTGCATGTTTGAGATTTAATACTGTGCGTTAAGCTAAGTTATTTTAAGTCCTGTCCTTGCACTGTGTAGGTTTTGGAGGGTGCTGAAGGACAGTATTCTGGAATGCAAATTGGGCAGCTGCAGGATGAGGAAGATGAGGCTGCAAATATTTTCCAAGATGATTCATCAGAGTCTTTCAGAAATTCTTCTGTTGGTATGTTGATAAATGGGGGGGATGGGACACAGAACTAGTGACACCTTTAAGGTGGGTGTTACCAGTGCATCTGCTTGTCTAACTTCCAAGGGACTGAAGACTCACATAATGGATATGAAAAACAAATAACTAGATTGAAATGTAAAATAAGGAATATATTTCAACACTTCTAATGAATCACTTGTTTTGATCGCTGCTAATTTATTTTTCATGTTTGTATAATTAAGTTCAATTAAAGTGCTTTTTATTTGCATCAGAAATGATATTTCATGAATTGCCTTTTTTAAAGCTCTTCAGCAGCCTCACCTGTTGAAAACCATGAGCCATAGTAGGCAGCCTTCTGACAGCAGCGTAGATAGATTTACATCAAAAGAAGATGCAGCAGATCCTGGTGATCATGAAAATAAGGTGAGAAGTAGTCACAGTGTCTGGTTTAAAGTTTAAAACAACTGAGTTTAAAAAAAAAAATAATTTACACTGATGATCATGTAAATTAGTGGTAAATGTGGGTAGCCTGTGTATGTGGTGTACTTCATTATAGGTCAAAATAAGGTTGAATAGTAAAGTTGAGTTGTAGCCTGCATTTCATTTAATGTAAGGTGAATACACAAGTGTTGCTATCTTGAACGCAATCACCAGCAACTGTAACAGAATACAAACTGCTGAGAACACAAACCCCTTTTGTCTGTGCATTAGTAGGGTACACTGATACTTTTATTACCCAAAATATCTTTGTGGCGATGGCTAGCTGTGTAGGTAACTTAGGATCTCCTCAGAAGTGATTATGTCTTACTCTTTGAGCCTCTCTTTCTGCAGAGAGGTTCATGCCATTCTAACCACAGGTTACTGATTTCCTGTTACGTTTTTTTTACTTTAGCTTTGGACCTTGTTCTGAGCTGGGGTAAAAGGAGTTTCGTTTGTGGCAGGCAGAGTTAGATCAGCTTGGGCTACTGGGGAACTCTGAACGTGAAACTACAGAAGGTTGTCAGCCTTCTTTGGAAAGAACTTAGAAATTAATTGTTTCTCATATAAAGTTTTCAAAGATCATTGGTGACAAAAAGTGGTTTATCAGACTCCTTCAGATGCAGACAGGAAGGCTAGGCAATTCAGAAGATCTACAAAATGATTGTTGTTTCTGTGATAAAATTAAACCAATTCTGATACTGGATACAAACTTCGCAAAAGCATTACTTTTTAAGGCCATTTTTTTGGAATATATATATTAAACACATTTTGTATTATGACCTTTATACATTTGGGGATGTGCAGTATTTCTAAATCTTGTGCTTAATGTTTTGTTTAAATTGAAGATTAATTTTTATCTATATAAAAATTGTGATTTGCCTTCAATAGCCCTCCAGGGTAAAGGGAGACATAGGTCACTATACTGATGGAAATTCTGCTCCTTTAGTGCACTGCGTTAGACTTCTGTCAGCCTCTTTTCTACTTACTGGGGAGAAAGGTGGTAAGTTTCTGTTTAAGTTTCATTGGTTCATTGTGTCTCAAGGTAGAAAGTTGGAAATGTGATCAGTTTACTCTGGTTTTTAATCTCACTTTATTGGAGGTTTGGGGGGGGAGGTTTCTGTGACAGTCCTGTTTTAAATGATCACACTAGAGTACAGGAAAACCTGAAAACAATTTATGCCATTTTTCAATGAATCCTGTTTTGAGCAATTGAGCATCTAAAGAAGTGTTATGGTAACTTAACCCGTAAGTCAAACACTTAATTACATTTACAATTTGTAAATTTTTATGGGACTTAACCTGTGGGGCCATGATGGTTTGTAGATTGTATGAAGCTGTGAAGATAATCTAATACCAGCATTTCTTTTTATCAGTGCTGGGTGCCCAGTTTGTCCACGATGCATGTATCAATACCTCAGTAAGGAAACAATTTTCTGAGTTGCAGTTCATTGTGTGAAAACTCCTAAAAACAAGTTCAGAAGAATGTAGTTCTTTCAAGTACTTGTCTTTAGTATTTTTACAATTAATTTTGTTTATAATGCCTAAATTGTTTTAATTAAAAGAAGATTAAAAGTATCTTTTAGCTTTATTGCTCAGTTGTGTTTGAATTCCGTGTTAATTTTTTTTAATGTACTTCAGGTAGAGGAAGTGCTGTTGTACCCATTTGTGTTTGGGAAATATAACTTGGTATTTTAAGTGATTCAGCTGTAGTAAACCAGAGAATTGACCTAAGGCTTTCAAAGACCTAGCTGAAATCACAAGTTGAACTTTTTTCTTCACTTTTAACATCATCTAGCATTTGCATAAGTTAGTGTGGCCATTTTTCATGTGTTTTTTCATGTGTGACAGTCAAAGAGAAGCTTTTTGACAGGAAGCGATTGTTAGAGGCGGCTGTTGGGGCTCAGAAGAGGAGTTACTTACCTTTTCAGCATAGTAATAAAATGTCAGTAGGGATTTTCCAGAAAGCCTTTATGGCATACGCTACTGCTTCCATTTTTTTCACTGGGAAGTCCTTCAGAGGCATGTGTGTATGTGTCATCATATGTGAGTGAAGTGAGCATTTAAGATGTTTGTTTTTTTCCCTTTTCTAAACTTATTTGTTCACATACTCTGCTAACGTAGTGTTCTTGGAAAGACACTGTAATAGCTGTATTCTCAGCAACTGAGGGAGTTGGAAGTGTGTGGGGTTATTAGTTATTTTTTTCTTTTTTGAAAAAAAAAGCTGTATATAACTGCTGTCTCTGATAAACTGGAACTACTTGTTCTGCCTTCATATTTTTTGTTCTGGCTAAGCTATTTATATTATATAGAGTTATTAATTAACTTAAAAACAATTCAGGAAGCTTTTAAATCCCCCCCCCCCCCCTTTTTTTTCTTCTCTCCAGCTTTAGTTCCTGATAGAGATGTGAGAGTCAGTGTAAAAGCCCTGGCAGTAAGTTGTGTTGGAGCAGCTGTTGCACTTCACCCTGAGTCTTTCTTCAGCAAACTGTATAAAACACCCCTTGAAGCAATGGGAGAAGAGTATGGTATGTTGCAGTTCACATATGTAAGAAGGCTCCTTATAGAAGCCTTCCAGTAGCTTAAGGGGGCCTACAAGAAAGCTGGAGAGGGACTTTTTACAAGGGCGTATAGTGATAGGACAAGGGGTAATGGTTTAAAACTGAAAGAGGGTAGATTTAAATTAGAGGCAAGGAAAAATCTCTTTACTGTGAGGGTGCTGAGGCACTGGAACAGGTTGCCCAGAGAGGCTATGCGTGCCCCATCCGTGGAAGTGTTCAAGGCCAGGTTAGATGGGGCTTGGAGCAACCTGGTCTAGTGGAAGGTGTCCTTGCCCATGGCAGGAGGGTTGGAACTAATGATCTTCAAAGGTCTCTTCCAACCCAAACCATTCTATGATTCTATGTTATTCCATTCAGTAGTGTGTTTGGGTTTTCAAATAAGTGAGGCAGCATCTATACTGAAAACTCTAAATCCAGTTTAGTATTTGCAAACAAACATTGCACCAATTGGAATGAATGTGCTGTCTGTACTAGTAGCGCATGTGGTGAGATTTTTGTTTATTTTATAAATGGTTTCTTCTAACTTATTTCAGGCCATCTTATAGATGGTTTCTAAGCCATTAGCTTCATTTTTATGAATTCTACAATATGATCAGCAGGGACCTTGAGTATTCAACTGGTTTGATACTGATAGTGGCACCGGTGGAGTGTTGACCAAAACTCTTCTTAGATTTCCCCAGAGCATTTTGTGTACAATTGAAATAAATCACTAGTGTTTTTATATCTGATTATTGGTCTGGAAGGTGTGAATGATCTGTAGACTGTATGCAAGGGATCTCTGAAAGGTAGAACTAAGGCAGGCATATTGTGAACAGGCTGACATTGATTGTACAATAATTGGTACCTCCACTGACACATTTTTAGGGATCAGTGAAGTCTAAGACTAGTATTTTTAAAATAAAGTAGTTGTAACTTATTTTCTTAGAGGAGCAGTATGTATCAGATATTCTGAACTACATTGACCATGGAGATCCCCAGATTAGAGGAGCTACTGCCATTCTGTGTGGAACAATTGTCAACTCCATTCTAACTAAATCCCGCTTTGATGTGGAAAAATGGCTAATAAATGTCAGAAGCTCAACAGGTAACAATTTATTTTAAGGGTGTCTCTTTTTTTCCTTATGTAACCAAAATTTTCTTTTGTTTCATTTCTCTGATTTTTTTTTTATTTTATTTTTTTTTAGGAAATCTCTTTTCCTTGGTAGACTGCATACCTCTGTTACAGAAAATGCTGAAAGATGAGTCCTCTGTTACATGTAAACTGGCTTGTACAGCTGTGAGGGTAAGCAGAAGTGGTAATGTAGTTATAGGAGTGTTATTTGTTGACTGGGATCCTGCTATGCTCAGGTGTATAAACATGGAGCAAAAATTACTTCTTCCCCAAGAACTTTCTTGTAGAAAACTTTGCTTCAAGCATGGAAATGGAGGAACAAACAGCTGGAAAAGAATTATGTCCATTAGATTGCTTAACAGTATAATCTAATCATGATATTTCTAGTCATAAATGTACTGGTATGAGCTGTAATGTTACATTAACCAACAATAGGATGAATGCATTAGATAAAAAGGCTATCTAGCCTAAACAGGGAAGTGTGAACCTGTAACACCTGGTTATAACCTATATTTGGAAAGCAAAAATTAAATGTGAGAAATGCCAAGTAAAATAGTGATTATTTTCTGAAATAATAATTTTTAAACGTGAGGGAAGTCTCAGGAAAGTAATTGTTTCAAATTGCGTGAAAGATTCATCAGGCAATTGTTAAAATAGAGATGGTATCTGAATTTGTGAGTGCAACTTAGAGCTTGTGAATTTTATTTCTGTAATAAAAACTGTGGAAGGTGTTCTGTAAAAAAGCAGGGGGTGAAGGAGTGATCTTTTCCTTGAGGAATTTTCCAAAAAAGTAGAACAACAAGGACAAATTGGAGGCCGAGGGAAATTAATTCATTGGGGAGAGGCACAGGGTGGCTAACTGTATTGCAGCTTATGGGTCAGTGAGGCAAAGCTTAGCTTTTAGTAAAATGCACATAGTTAATGTAGGGAAAGTATGATTTCATGTGCTGAGGAGGGGTCTGTGATGCAGCTGAGGGAAGGAAATCCAGTTAGTTAAATGATGCTATTTTTAACCTTCTGTTCCATGATCTTATTGTTTGTATATAGTGGTTTCATGTATGATTACACTTAGGTATATGGCTTTTTAGAAGAATTTACTAGACTTGTTCACTTCAGGCAACTTGTATTAGTCAGTTTTGACTTTTTTCTTTCTCTCAGTATGTAATGTAGCCTGACTTCATACCTTTCAGCAGAAATGTTCTAAAGCACTTTGGGTTGTTAATCCCCGAACAAGAAAGTACATTTTCATGTAGCTAAGAAGGACATAGAAATGTAGAGTTCTATAACTTTTTCCGAAGATCACACATGCATATAGTTGAACAGTCATTAAAATGAAGAGGTATGACTTTTTGAAAAACTTTGGAAATCAGAACCAGGTGTCTAATAATACCCTATGGAAATTAGGAGAGACTGTTTTTGAACAGATAAGAATATAGTGCTTGTGGTGTTTAATCCCTGTGAGTTTTAGACCTTACTCTTTGGAGGATTGTCCTCTCTTCTGAGCCTTGTGTTCCTTTCCAGACTTTAAATTCAGCAGCAGGTCTTAGCAGTTCACATGGAGCTAGTGTCCTAGCCTTGCAAAGTACTTAGCTCTAGTACTTTCTCCTAGCTCTTAAGCAGTAAGTTTTTTTAGTATGCTAAACAAAACAGATTTTTATGATCACTTACATACTTTGATTCAGAGAACCTCTTCTGTAATATAACTGAAAGTTGTGTTTTCTTCTCAGCATTGCATCATGAGCTTATGTAGTAGCAGTTACAGTGAACTAGGTTTACAACTAATTGTTGACCTCCTTACGCTGAAGAATAGCTCATATTGGCTAGTAAGAACAGAACTTCTGGAAACTCTTGCAGAGGTAGATTTTCGGTAAGTGTTTATATTTTTCCATGGGTGTTGTAGCTGCAGTGCAAAGATGCTGTGTATAGGAAACTGGAACCAAAATGGAGCAGTTTCTTCTGAAACACTAGCAAGTTTCATAAAACTAAATCAGACCAATCATTCCTATAAGGAATGTTTATCAAGTTACCATTGACTTCACTACCAAGCCCAATCCTAGTAACACTGTGTAGGACTTTCGAGTTCAGTGACCTGTTTTATCAAGTCTTCTGTAAATCTGTGATCACTGAGAGGCAATATAATCTCAAAACGAACTTGGTTTTCATGTCCAGTTTTGTGTGTTTTTAAAGAAAATACCTGACTTGTTCTCCATTATAGTCAGCTCTCTTCAGTTGCTCAGTTCGTTACACTGAAATGAGTATGACTTTAATTCCTTTTCTTGCATTCCCTCATTTTCTATAGGTTCTTCCAAGCTGAAAGACAAAAGATGTTTATATGAAATTTCTTTAAGTTATCCTTAGCCATACAGAATTGGACTCTTTCTGAATAGTGATATTTGGAATGTGTTACCATCTTTTCAAAACAGTCTGATTTTTCCATGTATGGGAAAAAAATACAATCACAATGTGTAAATGTTTTTTAACTAAAGAAAGGTAATTCTACTACTACCACTACTAGCCAGATAGAAGTTTAATAAATAGCTTACCTTTTCTAACGGTAGCAAAAAGTGTGTTTACTTCTTACATTTTCCCTGCAGTAGTGTTTTTAAAAAATAAATAAAAAACTCTCAGAGCACTGAAGGGAGAAATAACATTTAATGTTAACTAATGTACTGTAAATTCTATTTTACTGTAGGCTAGTCAGCTTCTTGGAAGGAAAAACTGAGAGCTTGCACAGAGGTATTCATCATTATACCGGTGTAAGTAAATTATTCAATCACTATATTGTGTTTCTGGATTAAGGTACCAGTGCAATTTCAGCACTTTGTGTTTAAATTCTATCAATGCTGGTACTTGTTTTAAGTATGTTTTATGTAAGTAGGCTCATGTTCTGACACTTCTTACAATTGGAAAGATACTTCACTACCGAGATTCAAATATCTTGGTGTTCTCTGGTGTCTGTGTGGCTGTTGTTGTAAATTTTCTTTTAAACTTCAAAATTTTTTTTTGCATTTATGTATGTAAATAGTGTATTTAGTGTATTTGGCAATGTTAAGGTAAAGATTGTCTTACAGACTTGTATGACAGATGAAATCTCACTTGTTAACTATCTTTTAACAATCTGGTCAAATGATGAAAAAGTTCAATTAACTTTACTGTACTAACTTATTTTCTAGCTACTAAAACTTCAGGAGAGAGTGCTTAATAATGTTGTAATATGTCTGCTTGGAGATGAAGATCCGAGAGTGAGACATGTAGCTGCAGCTTCATTAGTGAGGTATATATGGGTTTGGTTTTTTGTTTTTTTTAAAGGAGTTTAGGAACATATTTGCATGTTACTGCGTAGCTATAACTAAAATAATCTCTTAGTGGGGTTTTTATATTTTTGTTTAAATGAGGGATGGGACACAAATGCAGCTTTATGGTACCTGGAACATGCATCATTCTGAATCATCAGGCAATTGTGCTTTGCTTTTTATTAGCATTACAATTACATTTAACTGTACTACATTCAGAGGGTCACTTTCAGTTTCAAGTTCTTTAAGGTTGTTTTCTGCACACTGAAGTGGATTGTTCAGGATCTTGACAGTAGCTGATGGACTTAAATGTTGCAGTTCTACCCAGTTGTCCTAACTCCCAAACATTGTGCTTTCCACGTGGTTCAAGTAGTGTATCTTAAAGCTTTCGTGCTCACTTATTATAGTAAAGTAGCTAATCTTGCTTAAAAAGCACCTGTTTGTAACTGTAGAAGGTCACAGCAATTGCTGTCCAGATAAATGCACCAAACAGTAATGATTAGCTGATTATTAGAATTCAAGGACTTAAGTTTTATGTTTAAAGAAGTTGGGAGCATCTAATACTTAATTCCTGGAATATTTTATTGTCAGAGGAGTCTCTTTCCTAGCTTTTTCAAACTATTAATTGCTGTCCATTCCTGATAACAAATAAAGGACAATGAAACCTTAATAATTCTGCCACTTGAAAGCATTTATATTGCAGAAACGGCTCAGCACAGAAATCTGTAACTGTTGCATCATAGTTAGTAGTAGTTGCTTTTATTCAGGGACTTGATTTTTAAATGGAGTTACTTTAACTGAGTGGTAACAAGTTGGAGTTTTTCCTGTATCTTCATGTTGACTTGGTGACAACACACATGTTAAGGTTGGAAAAGACTTAACTGCCCAAGAAAGCTGCTACAAGCTTGCAGAAGCCTCTTGAAACATCCAGTATGGGCATTTATTGGAAGTACTGACAGTGAAATTACAAAAAAGGTATATTGTAGCTTTTCACTGTTGTCTAGGTTGAAAATCTTGTTCTTCAAGAACACTGGATCTTATTGTATGTTTAAGTTTTGCTGCATAGAAATTGGATGGTGGAAAATTGTCCTTTTCAGGTAGAAATTAGTTTTCAGTTGACACAGATATCCATGGGGATAATATCTGGGGAGATAAGGGAATACAAAGAGAAATACTGTAGCGAAGTGGTCATTGTAGCTTGTAAAGGTAGGTATTTCTAAAAAAAACCCCACAAACCTTTTTTAAACTACCTTATGTCTAGAGCAGTTCCTTTGTCCTGATTTAAGCTCCTTGGCTATAATGAAGAGCAGCTGTATAAAGATGAATTCAGCTTAACAGTATGAGTTTTAATAACAGCTTTTATTTACTATTTGATATGTGTAATTAGTGTATGCAGCTTTCTGAATTGTATATCAAATATATTTTAAATCTACTTTAAATTGTATATTAAATAATTTCTGAATAATACTTTTCTTTTTTGACAATTACCGTTCAGGCTTGTTCCAAAGCTATTTTATAACTGTGATCAAGGACAGGCTGATCCAGTTGTGGCAGTAGCAAGAGACCAAAGCAGTGTCTACCTGAAACTACTAATGCACGAAACACAGCCTCCATCTCACTTTGCGGTGAGCACTATCACCAGGTATGTTATGTGTCTTGTCTTGCTTTAAAAGGAATGTGGACCCAAATTTCAATTTGTAATGCTTGGAATTGTAGCTAAATCCTGCAAATCCATGTGCTCATGAATTCTTTTTCCAATCTGTAGGAGCATCTGTGGTAGTTTCAGGCTCCGCAGACTCCTGTTTAAAGAATAAACTGGTGTGTGAATTGCTAGTGATGTGCTCACACATTGATCATAGGGAGTCGTTGTTCTGTGATAAACTATCTTCTCTTCATCCTGAGGTCATCCTATTTGTCCATTAAATTGCACGATTAGGTGCAGCTTTACAAGCTAATCGTATGTATACATTATTGGTTTTTCAGGTATGTTGATCAGGTTTTGTAACTCTTCACATCCTGTTACAATGTTCGTGGTTGCAGAAGTCTGTACTGCCTGTATAATTTAAAAATAAATTCTAATTTTGATAGTGTGATCTTGTTGCTGTACTTTTGCTGCCAATTATACTTTCCTAAACTCTTTTGTCTTACAGACAGTATGAGTTATATATATTTATGGGGGCTCTTTGTTTTTATCAATTTGTCATACAAGTTTTTAATTACCTTTATTTACCTTTTCCATACACGATCTTCATCATGTCACTCAAGATTTATATACTGTAGCATGGAAACAATAGAACTTTGTGGACACTGCGTTATTTCAGATAAAATAGTTATGTTTCTACAGCAATAATCTTTTTACAGCAATAATCCAAAGTTTGTGAACATGCAAAAATGTTAGATGGATTTGAGCAAAAGCAAAGACTAATTTTAAATTCGTGGTGATTTCTAGAGCACTTAGGTATTCAGAGTTGGTCTACTGTTTGCTAACAAAGGGATGTGATTTATAAACTAAGTTGCTGTTGCTAGTACAGAAGAAAAAATATTAAAATATAATAAGGTGGTATTTAGAGTGTTCTCATATTTTGTATTTTATAAGCAGTCTATAAAATATGTAGTAGTAATTTAAGCCATAATCATTTTTGATTGAGTTTGTTTCTTTTTTTAAGTACATGTTTTCGTGGTATAAATATTCTTATTTCAGAATATATAGAGGTTACAATATGCTGCAAAGTCCAACAGATGTCACTATGGAAAACAATCTGTCAAGGGTTATTGCGGCAATTTCCCATGCATTGACAATATCCACTACAAGAGCACTTACGGTGAGTTTTCTTAGTTGCTATAGTGGCTGACTTTTCTCTTTTTTGCTCGCTTGGTTTATTTTTAATTATTTCTTGGCTACATTTGTATTTACAGCTTTGGTACTGTGGTAATAGCAATAGTAATACATTTAATTCTCACTCTTAAGATACTTTGTTGTTGCTAACTCTTCCAGTGATGAAACTGATTCAATTCTTGGTGTTAACTTTTCAGTTTGGCTGCTGTGAAGCTTTGTGTCTTCTTTCCACAACATTTCCAGTCTGCACCTGGAGTGTGGGATGGCACTGTGGGTATGTTCCCTCATCTGTTATTCAAGCTTCTGAAAGTCATGTTTGCAAAACGGAAGTACACTTATTTAGGTATCGGAAGTCCTGGTTTAGAGGTATGCTGTTAAGCTTATCTTAGCAGTTATTTGAGAACTTTATACAGAAGAGTGTAACATCAGGTTGTCGTGATACTGTGTCAGCATATTGTCATCTCTGGAACCACAGCGTATATCACAGGGATTGGCTGAAACTGCTGTAATAGATACTGACCGTATGTATCTTTATCTAAATAAGTAATAGGAGAAAATTTTCCATACTTTTGAAAGAATGTTTATCTTCAGGATATTGTCTTGTAGTATCTCTTTAACATCAGAACATCATCATTTTCACCTTGATCTCATGTTTATGTCGAGGAACAGTGAGTAAAGGAAGCTGGTTCATGGTTGCTTTTATAACTATAAAAGTGTCAGATGTATTTAAATTGTTCTCATTTGGCACACTGAATGGGAACAGCAAATGAGATACTTATAATACTTAAGTGTTATTTAGGTAATATATGACAGCCCCAAAATACTTATATTCTGAAGAAACTCTTCAGAATGTAACTGTACAGTTGGTAACTCTAAAGCTTTGATCTTGCCTCTGATTATCAGTGCTGTGCCACATGAGCTGTAAAACTAGCTACTGAAGATGTACATGTGTGGAGCTGTTTGGTTTTTAAAGAAATTTTAAATAATTTGTGTTGATTTTCTTAATTATTGTCATTGTGTCTCTACTCTTATTTTACTCTTCTGATATCCTGAAACTCTACTGCAAAATTTTATCTTACTTTAAAACCGAACCAAAACCCCAACAACAACAAAAAACCAAACCTCCCCCAGCTGCTTTTCTTGTCAGCTTGCCCTTTCTTCCCTTGCTGGCCATAAGTGTGGCATGCTCTGTATATGAATTCTAAAAGATGTCTTTTGTTAAAACTGGACCTGTAGCTCAAATGAAGTAGGCTAGGATGTGAGCAGTACTTAACTGGAAAACAAAATCAATGCAGAATTGCAACAATCTGTCTTCTGTTCTACCTGGCTTAAAAAAATGCCATTTTTAAGATGTATCTAATGTTCATCAGTGATGCAATGACATAGCTTTTGCCCTTTCCTCTAATTCCTTCTTTACAAATTTTTGGTCCGTGTTCATACTAATTTGGATTGTAATTTTATTTTTGTGGAGTGATATGAACATTTATCATTCTGGGTAATGAGAATATAATAAGATGGATAACATGAGAATTTTGCCAAAATTCTTTTCTGTCTTAAGTGTTGTTGTTTTTATGATTAAAACCCTTTTGGAACTGCTGCATTCCAACTCTGTACAACTCTTAACTGTATGTAAACGGACCAACACTTCCATGTGAAAATACTTTTTTCAAAAAAAAAAAAAAAGGCACTGTAATTACCTGTGTAGCTTTGTCAAAAGAATAGCTATATTTGGTGTAAATTTTATTTTCTGAAATTACTCTAATTGTATTGGACCAGAATGACTACATTAGAAGATTTTTTTTTTTAATTTAAAAAATATCCTAAAAGAATCCCTTTATTTAGAGCTTCCATGAAGTCTTTTCCTGAAAGAAATTTAGTAGTATCGTGCAGATCTTACAGCTTTGAAATGATGTGTGTAATTCCCATAGTATTCTGACAAACATTTTCTGGTGATATCTGCCTGCTCTTTTTGAAACTTGAGTTGTGTGGGAAAATCTGATTTTTAAAGTTATTGTGAAGGAAAACATGGAATGCAGCAGCAAATTAGAATCTTGGGTAGAGTCCACCCATAAATATAGGTGATCTGATGGATTCCAATTGTTTAATTAAATTCTTGTCACTTTAAAACAATACCTTGTTATATTGCAATGCTACAGCTTATGTCTCCCATCCTTACCTTGCATATGCGTAAGACTTTTAACTGGAGATATTTCAGGACCGTACTGGTTAACAACTAAATACAGAATTCTTCTGTTTATCAGTAGATGTCACTAGCAACTTTCATATTTGCTATTTTAAAAAAAAGTATTGGCTCTTCAAGACGACAAAGTGTTGTCAGGTCTCTGCTGCAAACTGGTTTTTTTTAAGTCCACCTTGAGTGTTAAATGTGTATTTCGGTAGTACTGTCTGGTTTGGGGTTTTTTTTGATTAGCAGTCTACTTGACTGTTAGTTTTCTTAAGACTTTAAACTTACCAAAAGGGGGGAAAAAAATCATGACATTCCAAAATTAAACTTCCAGTGTTTCCCAGCCAAGTTCTTCAGATGAAGCTCAGAAGGGCTGCACCATTGGAATGGCTGGCATGGTCCTGTCTCTCCTTTCATCAGCATGGTTCCCGCTGGACCTCTCTGCACATCAGGATGCTTTGATTTTGACTGGAAACTTGCTTGCAGGTAAGGCAGAATAAGGAAAGTAGGATTGTTCTGATACTTTACCATTGGCATCACAAGGCCTATATCTTGCCCTATTCTTATCACACGCAATAAAGTACTTGCAAGACTGAGCAGAAGAAATGAAGAAGGAACTTCTTGCACCCAGGAGGTTTGAAAAGATACTGCCTCCAAGTTGCAAATTCCATCTAGTTGCCAAAGGGAACGTATAGTATGCTTGGTACAGGCTGGGTACAAATAATTAAAATTTTTTGGTGGTTGTTTAAAACTATGCACCTACTGCTGTTTTTGAAACTGTAGCTTTTCTTTTTCTATTTGAATTTCTGTTGATACAGAGATGATAACCATATATACCTCTAAAATTTTCTCATACTTAATTCCAAGTTTTTATCTTCTTTTTCTTTAAATAATGTGATTCCTATTGCAGCAAGTGCTCCCAAGTGCTTAAAGAATCCCTGGAGTGCTGAGGAAGATTCAAACCAAGGTGCTGCAAAGCAGGAGGAACCCTGGCCAGCTCTGGCAGATCGAACTCTTGTTACTTTAGTAGAACAGCTCTTTTCTCATCTGCTGAAGGTCATTAATATTTGTGCACATGTAATGGATGATGTTGCTCCTGGGCCAGCAGTAAAGGCATGTATTAAAAATAAATAAATAAAATTGTGTGACTTAAATACTGTTGTGATACAGACCTCTGCATTTTGGAGTTGATATAGGCAACTACCTAACACCTTGATAATATGACTCCACTATGCGTAAGAAAGCAAGTGATGTGAAAAGAACATGCATATCGTTCTTCCATGTAACAGGTTCTTCTTTAGTTCTGCGGTATTTGTAATATTACCTTAAATTTTGAACCTTTTATTTCTGGTGACTTTGTTTGAAACATTAATTCAGTAAGGAGTGTATATAGTAAGTGGAGTATTGGATTGCATACTCTGGCAAACATCTGTTGACTTTTGGGTTGGTTGGCTGGCTGTAATGCATTGAGCTCCTTTTGGGGCTAAAAATAACTCTTTTGTCTTTTGAATATCCTGCAAAATATTTTGACTTCTGAAACAGCTCATATGAGGTATTTTTGGGTTTGGGTTTTTGTTTTATGTTGGGTTTTTTGAGGCATCTATATTTTGAGACTGATATAGTGACTGTAAGGCAATGTTATTAGGATTAGTAATTTCTTCATATTTTAAAAATAGAAGAATATTTTTTTGACACTTCTTTGTCTTGAATCAGAAGAAGCTTTAGTCATTGAGTTCTAATTCCATATCATTAGCTTATGCTGAAGTTGAGAAGGAAAGTAGGGAATATATTAAACTTCTTCCTTTTCACCCAGGAAATTCATGTCTTAAACCTGAGAGTTGAGACATCTTAATTTAACTGACAGTCAAATAAAGGGGGGTTTAAATGAAAGATGAATATGCTTGTATTTGTATTAGAAGAAGAAAAGCTACTTGTGCGTACAAAATTAATGAAGTTGCTTTTAATTCTAGGCAGCATTACCTTCTCTCACAAACCCACCTTCTCTTAGTCCAATTCGGAGGAAGGGGAAAGAGAGGGAATCTGTCGAACAGGCATCTGTGCCCATGAGCCCTAAAAAGGGTGGTGAAGCAAGTCCAGGTAGGCACACTTACTGGTATTCATCCTCCCACCTAAGTATGGTTACAGCATAGAGAGAAGAAATAAAACCGAGTAACTTGTTTTCTTTAGTTCAAAAGGCTGGCAGACCTACTCTCAGAAGTTCTTTTCAGTATTGCATTGCAAGAAAGGCAGCCATGGGTTGGGGCTTCTTTACTGTTTTTTATGAAAATTAACTGTACTCTTCAGAAGCAAGGTACTTCTGAATCCTTTTCCTAGATGTTTTTCTGAATCTACTCAGCTGTTGACTAAAATTACTTCTTAATTTTTGCATGTATTTTACTTAAAAGAAGTTTGAAAGATGCTTTGCAGCTTTTGGCAGGAGTAGCTTACATTGCTCTTGGAAACAAGATTCTGAATCTTGAAAACTTTTTGTTATTAGTAATGAATGAAAGAAATGGGTGTCAATTCTGTTTTGTAAATTGTACTTGTGCTTCAATAATAAGCCCTCTGGCTTAATTTCTCAACTTAGAGGGCTAGTTTCTTGGAATGCTGGTTCATTTTCTAGTTGTACAGCATGTGTGTTGCGTTTAAAGTATGCATGTAGATTGAAAAATTCATGCTGTTTGATAATTCAGGTATGGTAGATTATGTTGAGTATACATGTCATGAGCACCCTAGAAAAAGTATGTTGTGCTAATCTATAATGTACTTTTAAGCTACTAGGCAAACTGATACTACTGGGCCTGTTCCAACAAGTAAATCGTCTTCAGTAGGAAGCTTTTATCATCTTCCATCATATCTGAAGTTATATGATGTCTTGAAAGCAACGCATGCTAATTACAAGGTACTCCATGATATTGTTTGATTGAATTATAATGTGGTTAGGCAATCACTTTGTTTCTTTTGAACATGGCTCTCCTTGTATCGAGACTCACTTGTTTGCCTGTATAAACAGTTTATCCATGCAACCCGCCCCCCCCCCCCCCCCCCTGTCCCCCACCCCGC